CAGAAAGTAGTTAAGCAGTATGTCTACTGGTAAAGTAGCACAATGGGCTGATCACTGTGGGGAGCATGGCAAGTGCAATTGTTTGAGGTACCTCACCCATGTGTCCATCCCCATCTTGATGACAGACGGCTTTGTCACGTTGACAAAAATTGTCCCACCCAACCACCGATTGTGTCAACCCAACGTCGCCGATGCAGACGTCACCGTCCATCTGGAATATACTCGGAGATTTGTTAAGCACTCTACAGAAGCGTGTTATGCCATGGGACTATGGCTGTGGTGAACAAACTGGGCCGGCCTCGTATTGACAAGTCGACAGTTAATTTGTGCTCTGTCATGCAATCATTCGGTGACGACGAGAGTTGCCTCTTTCCCTCGTCACTTCATATCCGCTCATTTGAGTGTATTGACGAGCCTCTTCGCTTGGTTTGTCGATTGAAGTTGAGAGGACAGCAGGCGAGTGTGTGTAATGGCATGTTGACGATAGTATTAGTGGAAATAATGCAGATCTAAGCAGCCCTTCGTCTCTGTGAACTATAAAAAACCTGTTATTAAGGTATCTAGAGCCCCATTTTGGTTGACGAGTGGGCACAACACATGTGGTTCCATGGTGGTATTCACATGTGAAGGCTTTGAAAGACATGCAGCAAAACGAGTATGAGACGTGATTGAGTAATGTGTTGGAAGGGTACAGACCACTGGAGTTGTGCGGACAGCTTCAGTTGCCCATCATCAACGCTAATGGCCATTCTAGTGATCGAGTTGACCAGTAAATGCTATTGTACAGGTTACCAGACCGTTTAATTCATGAAACAATCGCATTGTATTGCTCTCAAATCATGGTGAAAAACCACTATCTTATGAGCAATGCCGTCTATTTGAGACGGGGCAAATTTTGGAGGATCAAAGGAGATGGTTTGAACCTTCGCATGTGTTAACAAGTCCATCGACCTGAGCAGTAGGAAAAATGGGTGAATGGGCAAATTAATGTTGGGTTGGTGCTTCAAGGTAAAACGTATGCACCTGCTTGTGCTGTGGATGACGCGATATTCAAATCATACATGCATCACACTTTAAATCATCACCCCAGCATCCGTTTACCCATCCATTCGTTTGTCCCACTGCTCAGGCTGACAGAGTTGTTACTACACTAGATGGCTTATAACTCTCTCTGTTGGGCCAATTACATTGGCCCAGCCTCTAATAGATGGCATTGCTAATGAGGTAGTGGCTTTCCACCATGATTTGAGGGCAAAACAGCTCATTTGAATCATGGTTTAGACGGTCTCATAACCTGTACAATAGCATTTAGCGGTCAACCCGAATACAAGAGTGGCCACTAGTATTGATGATTGACAATTGAAGCTGCCAGCATAAGTTCAGTGGTCTGTATTATTCCAATACACATTACTCAATACCGTCTCGTGCTCACTTTGTCAGACGGCTTTTAACACCGTCAGCAATGGCTTTCGTGGTCTTTTTGAGGACCACCAAGAAACTACATGTACTGAGCCGTATTGTCAGCCAACATGGGCTTCTAGAGAGCCTGATTATGTTTTTAATTTTGCAGAGACGTGGAGCTCGTTCATCATGTGCTATTTCTACAAACACTACTGTCAACATGCTAATGCACACATTCACTTTCTATCCCTTTAACTTCAATCAAACAATTAAGCTGACTGACTTGGCAACATAGTTAAACCAGCAGGAACGAAGTGACGAGGGAAGGACGCGACTGCCCATCCCTACTGTTTCCTTTCGCAGAATGATATAGAAATAAAGCCTGTGCTCAGAGACGGCCGTCGTGCAGCCGAAGTCGCAATGCGCATTAACTTCGTGTTCGTCCTAGAAATTAAGGCCATCAATTTTGATTCTGCGAAAGGAAACAGTAGGGATGGGTGCATCCCCAGTAATTGTAGCTAGTTCTGTATTTAAGGAGCTCCCACGCACATGAGTACCTTTACATTATCTGCAGCGTCCAGATCCTGTGCAGTTCCGCCTCCTTGTCCACTGCTTTCAAATCTTTTGTGTGATAATAAATTCAGGGTTTGTCAAATACTAACCTTCAGGTGGAACTTACCCATCTACAGCACCAGCTTGCCCACTCAT